CTGACTGTCTAGACCCTGGTGTCCCACCCTTGTCACTCACTGCAAAGGATCCCATGGTTCCCTGTTGTGAGGCCCAAGTCCATCTCCTCCCATGGGAATTGTGGCTTATTGATGGACCACTGATGTCACCTAGCCTAGTGACTTGGCTGCCCACTGCCATCCTTAGCAAGGTGGTGGAGAAAAAGAGCCAGGCCTTCCAGGCAGGGGGAACAGCACCAGCAAAAGTGCAGAGGATGGAAGCGTGAGGATATCCCGAGCTCCCTGTGGAAGTTCCTAGTGAGGTTATGTTGTGGCCACATTATGAGGCTCAGATACTTGTTCCTGGCTAGGCCTTCCTGTCATCCAACCCCCAACCCCCCTACCTCCCGCCTTAGCCCAGGCCTAGGTGGCCTGGCTAGTGGCAGAATGAAACCTCTACTTACAGGGTGGTGCTCCAACTCCCTTTGACCGGAACTATGGCACCAAGCTGGGGATGAAGGCCATGCTGTGGATGTCGGAGAAGCTGCAGACTGTCTACCGAAAGGGTACATGCACGGGTTGGGGGTTGCGGCTATGCGCCCCACCTGCATTGTGCATGGCCTGGAGGTTCACACTTGCCTGCATCCACAGGACGAGTATTCGCCAACGCCCCTGACTCAGCCTGTGTAATCGGTTTAAAGAAGAAGGCTGTGGCCTTCAGCCCTGTCACGGAGCTCAAGAAAGACACGGACTTTGAGTAAGTTCCACCCCAGGCTCCGCCCCCAATCTTCAAAGGGTAGTGTGGGATTGGGGTGAGCTGGAGGCTAGCCTGGAGACTGGTCAGCGCATTGGGCTGGATATGCAGGGAATGTGGGGCAGGTCTGTAGGGCGGGGCGCAGGGGAGGTGGGAACCTGGAACCTTGCATGGCTGGGTGCAAGGGGCAGGGAATGCAGGGCGGGTATGGGGAGCAGGGCATCCAGAGCCCAGTGCTGGGCGTTGGGTACTGGGCGGGGCTCTGGAAGCTCTGCCCTGATCCTCCCGTGTGCCCTCAGGCACCGCATGCCGAAAGAGCAGTGGTGGCTGAATCTGCGGCTCATGCTGAAGATGCTGGCACACTACCGCATCAGCATGGCTGACTACGTGTCCGGGGAGCTGGAGCACGTCACCCGGAGCACTCTGAGCATTGAGACGGGCTTCTGAACTGAGCCCAGCCCACTGCCCCTGCTTTGCTAACCCCTCTGAGACCAATGCAGCCCCGGGCATTGAGACAGAGAGGCCTAGAGGCTATGTGGGAGCAAGCGGGCGGGGTGGTGTCCATTTTAGCTCCTGCTGCAGCCGGGCTTCCTGGGCAGGTCAGTCTGAGGCCAGCTCATGAGCCCTCATCCCAGCCACACCTCTTGCCTATGGACAGAATACCTCGGGTGCCGAACTTCAGGCCCGAGGTGTGCCTATGAAGCCCAATGCACCTTCTGGCCTCTCAGAGGGGCTGGGCCTTCCTTTGACCATGTGCCAACCAAAGTGGCCACTGGATGACCATCCCTTGTCACTTTTTCTATAAATAAAATCATTTTGACTGTGGAATTTTGTCCTTAGAACTTTCTAGGGCAGGTAGGTAGGGCTGCCTGGCCACGCAGGTGGATGGTAAACCCACTATTGCCCACTTGGACTGTAGGGCTCTTCATTGACCCTGTTGTGGGCCAGACTTCAGGCACACATGCTCTTGGAGACAGCTCTCACTTCTCCAGGACTGGTAGACCTTTCTGAGCCTGCCCTGGCCTTGGGTGTGTTTCCTGAGGGGCAGAGGACCCATGGTCTCTCAGTCTTCATGACACTACCCTGGTCTCAGGAGAGTTTCTGAGACTGGCCCCCAGACCCGAAGATCCTGAATGGTCCTCCAGATGTCATCTGGGCTGGGGCATCCCATGGTGCTTTGGGAGTGGGCAAGTAGAGAAGGAGCAGCAAAGTAGCCAAAACAGGTGTAGGGACAGTGTTGGCTCATGTCCTCAGTGGTTCAGGGTTACTAGCAGCAGAGTCCTCTGGGAACATGGTGGAAATGCAGAGCTCAGTCACTGAATTGGAATCTGCATTTAGCAGTCTTCTGATCATTTATGTGCACACTGAAGTCCAAAGAGCTCCGTCTGCTGTGGAATCCAGGGATCAGCATTCCCACCACACAGCTAGGTACTTTATAAAGGCTACTATGGTCCAAATTCCCTGCCCCTTCTGAGACCCTGCAGGTTTCTCAGCACGAGTCCTGGCTAGGTAAAGATGGGGGCTTGCAGGCCCCAAGAATGGGTGAACTTCCCTCCACTAACTGCCTTGGTGCCTTGGGGCTGATGCTGTGTTGTGACCTGAAGACTGAGCAGTTATGGTCAGCAAGCTCTGTCAGAGGAGTGAGCCCACCTTTCTCAGGAAGCAGACCCTGCCTTTGGGCCCAAGCCCTTCAGCCCCGAGGTCTACAACACAGGAGCTGTGTTCTCCCTGTTCCAGTGCCCTGTGCCGCAGAGGGTAGGTGGTGGCACCCTTCTCTGCAATATGCTGGGGGGTTCTGGTGTGCTGTATGACCAGCCTTACAGGACAGGCACTTCCTGAGCCTGATGGCCCTGTGACTGGGACCCAGTGCACTGACCCAGGTTTCTGGGGGATGTGGGTGACAATTTGGGGTTTCCTGGAATGCCTCTTCCAAGCCTTCCCCCAGAGGAGAGCTGAGATTCCATATGGACAGTTCTGAAGAGGGGCTGAAAGGTTCTGGGTGTCCAAGGCTTAGCTGGTCCCTTCTGTGGCAGGAGGTGGTGGATTGCTCAAACCAAGAATCTTGCTGTCATACCCAAGCTTCATCATCTGAAGAGGTGGGGCTGCTCCCCCATCATATGGCTGGGAAGGGAATGGCTAGAAAATGAACCACCTTAGCCAAGGTTACACTGCTAGGAAGGGGTAGGAGAGAGCATTTCCCCTGCAGTACAGCCCCTGCTGACCCCACGTTCTTCCAGCCTGAAGGGGAGATTGAGAGGCTCAGTAGAGCCACCCAAGGAAGGTAGGTGGGGGAGAAATGGGGACAGAGGGGTCAGGGTGGGTCAGAACCTGCAGGCTGAGAGGGTACCCACTAGACCTTCTCTGGGAAGATTGAAAAAGAGACTTCTCTGGAGAAAGATGGTGGCCCTCTAACAAAGCAGTGGCCTCTAAGCACCTGTGATGATGTCATATCCCCCTGGCAGTATGCCTCAGCTCCCAGTGCCTACACATGCCACTGTCCAACTAAGCCTTCAGTGGTCTGCAGGCCTGCAGTCAGCCATGGTGGGAGGATTTACACTATGTTGTTATGACATGCTGTCGAGTCGATTCCAACCCATAACAACCCTGTATGGGGTTTCTGAGGAGAAGCTGGTGAGCTTGAGCCACCGACCCTGCAGTTCAAATGGCTTTGCAGTCTGGTGCATTAACCCACAGTGCCACACCAGGACTCCATTTACACCATGGAAACTGGCAAATGCCCCACCCTAGCCTCCTTACTCCCAGCAGGCTGTTAAGCTTTGTCCCTCTCTGAGGGAAATGGGGTAGAGTTACTGTGGTTTGCCTTCAAACCCAACTTGAGGGTATCAAAAGGGAGCTAGAGCAGACAGCTGAGAGAAGATGGGAGCAGAGGGGGTGCTGGTGGTGGTGGTGTCCCGCAACTTGTACCAAGACAAGGTGGGGGGTCGGGGACCAGGGGATCTCTGGCAGTGCAGGCATAGTGGGTGGGGGAGGAAGAGGGCATTTCTAATCTAATGTCACCACACCAACTCCTTCTGACAAAGTGCTTTATTGTCCCATCAACCATAAGAAGGCACAGATGCAGGCCTTGTGACAATCCTGCCTTAATGTACACATGCAGCCACTCCTTGCTTCCCACAACTTGGAGACAAGGCCCACATCCACAGAACGTAAGACTATAAGCCCTCAGACACAGCTCCCCCATCCCACCATGGAGAGCATCACAATTTCAGAAATGGCTTTAACAAGGTTTAGTGCAGCTTCGCCTTCCTGTGACGGCGTGAGTCTGCCATGCTATCTCATTCATAGCCTCACTTTATTGAGTGCATCCTCGGTTTTCGCAGACTCTTAGGCTTCACTGCCCGGATGCTGGGCATCAGGACGAGACCTGCCAACTCTCCACAGGAAAAATGTATTTTAAGACATGGCTTCCAGAAGGTTCTCCTTCCCCCACAGCCGTACCCCCTGCGGCTGTATCTGGACTCCCATGTGGCTAAGTTAGTCAGCATAAATACCCTGCGTAGCAGCAGGACTAAGAAAAAAAAAGAGAAGACCATGTCCCCTCTTCACAACTGTGTGAATGGTGTGTCCTTACACACAATGAAAGCTACAGCAGGGGGGCGCTGGGGAGCCTAAGGCAGCCAGCATTCTGAAGATCCCCTGAGCCCACCAGAGAGTGTCCAATGATCCATTCAGAGGCCGGGAAATGGGCAGAATATCATCTCTTAACCAATTTTTCTTGGCAGTGTCTGCATTTGGACATGTCTGCTATTTAAAGATCAGATTTTGTAAAGATCCTTTATTAAGGAAATCTCCTTCAAAGTCTTCCACTGTGAGAATGGCCCAGTCTAGCTGGGACCCTCCTGGCCACCGCGATGAGATTGTGATAGAGGAATGGTGTGACTTCTGCACAGGGAGGCAGGGTCCTGGGGCCTATTGGCCTGAGTGCACCACACTGCCCCAGCAATCCCTTTAACCAGTCAGCACAGGGCTGCTGATGAACCCAGAGCCCCAATGGCTGCACTCCCCTCTTGCCTGGGCAGCTGAGCAGAGCCTTCTCGGGAGTCGGTAGGCCATGGTTCAGTTTCCCACGGTTCTGGTGCTGGCTCCTGTCCTGAGGCCACCTCCAGGTTGAGAAGCCAGGCAGAGGCTGGGCCATAGCAGCGCTGTGGCATTCTATCTCCTGGACACTTGAGGAGGCTGCTGGGAGACACACTGGGCCTTACGGCAGGGAGGCAGTGTTGGCACAGCCTGGTGGCTGGTGGGGCCTGATGGCTGGGGCCCCGTGGAGTCACTCCATGTCCTCCTGCAGCTCACGTCTGTGCAGGGCCTGGAGGCGGCTGCCCACAGTCTGGTGAATGACCTCCAGCCCCTCAGCATCCAGCTCCCTCAGCAGCAGCAGGACGGCAGTGAGTACATTGTTCTGGGGACAGAAGGGCCACTGAGTGACAGCCACTGGCCACTCCCATCTCATGGACACAGCCATGCTCATGTCACAGAGAGCAGGGTGTCTGGGGGCAAGTGCGGAGGCTGGCCTTCCATGGAACCAGTAATATGAAACAGACACAGGATCAGAATACACTGACACCATGCTGCAAACACGCCCATGGAGCTCACACCCATGAGCCCGCTGTTCCCCATGGCCCTCGGTGACCCTGTGCCTACCACCCCACTTCTACAGATAAGAAAACTGAGGCATGGGAAGCAGTGAGGATTAGAGCAGGGTTGAGTGTCCACATGGCAGCTTTGTGTGATACACGCTCTGACATACGTGCGCTCCTAGTATCTGGCACCTATACAAACCCTTTCTGCTCAGAAAACAGGGGATGGGCCCTGACAGGAGGACCACCTGAGCCGATTCTCCTTGAGTTGCCTGGAGGGGAGTGGGCTTCTCATTCACTCATGCAGGCACACACAGGACAGGAAAAGTCTGCTCTTCTTGGGAAAGTCGGGGTCACCTTGGAGCAGAGTCATAGGTACCCTGTACTCTCATCCTTCTGAGACCTTGCATCCTGGACTCTGATGCCTCAAACCTCACCCTCTTCCTGTGTCTCCAGGGTCTCCTTGGCCACTGTGCCCCCTCACAGCCAGACTGAAGCAGCACCTGACCATCTCTTGTCTGCAGAGGCAGCTGTGTGGGTGGTGGTGGGAAGGGGTTCATAGCCCTGTGAGTTTAGTATGTATTTGCTGAGGGCACAGAGAGAGGTGAATCCCCGTTTTCAATCTCAGATCCCCACATACCTGGGGGCTCTGCAGAGCCTCAGGAGCATGGAGAGGGAGCTGGGAAAAGAGGAAGGGACACTAGACACCCCCAATTACAAAAAATCTGAGCCCCCTGGATATTGCATATTTTGGGGTTCCTCCTGGAATTTACTAGAAAAATGTTCAGTGGCTAAAAGCATATTATAAAGCACCCGGTCATCTCATGGGGGAAGAGTTGAAACCCTACCATGGGGGTGGGGGGCAGTCCTGGAAGGAAAGAGGAGAGTCTGGGGCCCCTCAGCTGGGTGGATGCTTCCGCTATCCTCCCTCTCTTAGAGTGAACACATGTCAGCATCGCTGCCTCTGCCAACCCCTCTTTGGCCACCTCTATGTGGCACTGTAGGATAAGCGCAGGACTGCAAGGTCGGTTTGAACCACAAGGCCTGTGGTTCAAACTTATCAGCCGCTCCTTGGAAACCCTATACAGGGTTGCTATAAGTCAGAACTGACTCGATGGCACTTAATAACAACAACGTCCACTACCCAGGCTGGGCAGGCGCCTTCTAGAGCCTCAGCCTCCTGTGGGCTCAGATCTGGAACCAGACAGGGAGGCCCCGAGTCAGCTTCCTACCCTTTAGAGTCTCAACGGCCTCCTCCCCCACCCAGATTTCCACATTCAGGGAGTACTTACTCTGCTCTTGAGGCTGCTGGTGGACTCCGGCTCTCGTGGAGGGAAGGAGGAGGGCTGGTCCTGGGATGTGGGCCTCACACCCAGGTGCTCCTGGACACTGCTGGTGAGAGAGGACATGTGGTGTGGGCCTGAGGGGGCTGGGGCAGGAGCACAGCGCAGACAGATTACTCCATCACACAACACACCTCCCAGTGCCAGCAAAGCCAGAAGACAGGGCAGAGGGCAGCTTCCAGGAAGAGAACTCGAGGTGGGAGCAGGGCCAACTGTGGCTGACTGGGCAATGGGCTTGAAGGGGGAGGTGTCACCCTGACTTGTTTTCCATCCCCTGTGGGGGCAGCCTCCTTACACCCCAGCTTCCCAGCTGTAACACCGCCTGTAAGGAGTGGGATGAGGGGGGAACTAAGCACACACACAGGCTCTGTGTAGGCCCAGGCCCATGGGGATCACAGCATGATGCCCTAAAAAGCCTCTCTCCACCAGGAGGGGATGGGGCTGGAACTGCCAAGCCAACTCTCTGCCCAGTGGCCCACACTCACACCCCTGTGGCCTGGCCTACAGACCCCTTCCCAGTGTCCTCAGGAACTCAGAGGCCATGTGGCTCTCCAGAACACCCTTCTTTCTCATCTCTCCTGCTGTTTAATAAACATGGCTTCTTAAAAGTGTTCTTATAAAAACAGAAATAGTAGATAAAAAGACAAGCAGGTTTGAAATGCAAAGAATATAATAAAGGACCTAGCTAGGAAGAGAAAGTCACATCACTGAGTCTCAGGTTGGCCCTGTGCTGCCGGCCTTCCCTTGAGTCACACCTCGCCTCGGCAGTGCTGAAGCCCAGTGAGTCCTGCTCTGTCTCAGTTGAAGGGTCCATGGACCTCAGGGTAAAGGACATTCTGGGTGAACCGTTCTCCGTGTCCTCTCTAGCCGGGGCAGCGGTGATCTCGTCCCCCTCCATCAGTGCTCGGGATAGTTCCTCTTCTGTCACAGCTTAGAGGTAAAGGAGAGAGAGGGGCCAGAGCAACACGGAGGGCTCCCAACACTAAACCATGCACCAAGGTCTCAGTCATCCCTGTGGCATTTGACACAGTTTAAAAGGTGTTTGCAAATGTGTATGTCTTCTAGCCTAGAGGTCTGGCTCCCCGGGGGCGACTAGTCATGTCCCTCTTGTACCAAGCTCAGGGACTGCCTCTGAACTTGGATCTTCACATTTGCAAAAAGTAAGTACTCATAAAAATGCCTAATTAGGGCAAAGTTTAAGAAGGGACAGACAAGACCATATTTACTCCCCTTTAGTGACATATGACACAATTCTCCTGATGCTTTGTTACATTAAAGCTGACTGCTGGAAGCAAATGACTGACAGAGAGGGCCAGTGGGTGAACAGAGAAAAGGCACCATCCCCTGGGGAAGGGGCTGGAGCTTCAAGGGAGGGCCACATGGTTAAGCCCTAAGTGAGGTGCTTATCACTTGGATGATAGTTGGAGATACAAAGAGAAACTTTGGAAGGGACCCTACTTTTCCAATAGGAAGAGAGCAAACTACAGATAATTAGAGTAGTGACGATGTGGGGTGAGCGCTCAGGTTCAAGTTCAGGCAGGGTTGTAAGGCACAAAGCATCCCCATGAACCAGCTGTCCCACCACCTGCATACCTAGACACCAAACCTCCAAAACTTGCACCCAGCTTGTTGGGAACCCAGGGTGAGGGTTCAGAGCAGTATTGTTCTTAACAGGACAAAATAAAAAAGGCATTCAAGATGTTAAAGGAGGAACTATGTGAGGGTGAGCAGGCACGATGGAAATCTCTGTGTACTTTGTACACAATTTTCATTAAATTTAAAACTGCTAAAAAATAAAATAAAATAAATACAAGTCTATTAAAAAAAAAACAGCTCCAGCATCCTTGGCCAACAGGTGGATGACCAGGCTGTGCAGTGTTCACACAAGGAGGCTCTAACTCTGCACCTAGGTAGGGTGAGGGCCAGGGTTTTAAAGGGATACTCATGTGATCAAAACCAACACTATTATAAGCAGAAGAAGCTCTCATTGTTCCTTCAGAGGCTTATGGGGAAGGAGACTTTGAGGTGTGAGGGTGTGTCTTGAAAGATGAGGAGTTTTCAAGAAAGAAGAGAGAAGAGGGAGGGATGGCAGTGGTGTGGGCTTCAGGAATTTTCCGGATGTGGTATTGGGTCTCGAGCCTCCTAGGTTCTAGACAGCACGACAGCCCCCAGGGTTTCCCACTCAGGCAGGTCCCGGCACACCAGTGAGGCACTCACTTTGGTTGTCCAGCTTCTGGAGGCCGGGCAGGTTGCGCAGGACGGTCATGCGGTAGAGGTGGGGATCAGGGCCACAGCAGGGGTTCTCAGCCAGCCACAGCACCCGCAGGCGTGGCAGGCCCTTCAGGTAGAAGAGCTCGGCCAGACTGGAGATGCAGTTCTTGCGCAGATAGAGCTCGCTAAGGCGCTGGCACTGACGTACAGGCTCCAGGCTCGACACACCATTGACACTGCGGGGACACCATGGTTAGTAACAGACATGGCACCTAAGACTGCCCAGCATCACTGTCACATTTCCACTGGAAATGCTGGGCAATGGCACTAGCCCTAGCTCAGGAGCTCAGAAGAGGGCTGTAGGAGTTGAGGTCAAGGAGGCCTTACCTAAGGAACCGTGAAGGTCAGGGCAGACCACTTCAGAGAACAGATTTTCTGCTCTCCAGCTCTGCACTTGCAGGATGGAAGGCAGGATGCTTCACCCTCCTTACTAGTGAAGAAACCAAGACCTCTGAAGGGGCACACATATCACTTTGCCTCAAACAGGCCAGAAAAATGCACAGCAAACAGCAGAAGAGAACCTCATGTTAAACAGACACTGGGCACTGAACTCCAGAAACCCCTTGTTTCAAATAAATACAGGGTATGGGTTTAAATTTGGTTCAACAGAAACTGTGAACAGGTCAAAGTACAGAAACACACCAGGCTATGGTCTACAGCAGTACAAGAGGGGTCCAGCCCTTTGTCTACAACCAAAAAAAGCAGAGCTGTGAATGTGCAAGGGTTCAGCTCCCGGGAGGCTGAGTATCCTTTGTGGATGAGGCCGGGATTCCCATCTGAGAGCCTCGCCAGACTGGGGAGCACCTCCTTCCCAGCTCAGGGCATGCTATAACCCTACAAAGTGAGAAGGCAAGAGTCAGGTTCCTGTGTGGGACACGGACTAAGAGTCTGACTGTCTGAAACATTCTTTCCAGAGGCTGACACCAGGCTTGGGAGGCACCTTGAAGGGACGTCCTCACCAGAATGAACACTCATCTAATGATGCGGTGACTGGGGGCTGGGTGACATGCTGTTTGACAGCTCGGGGCTAGTTCATCCAACATCAGCTGTGAAACTGATGGATTTTACCAAGAGCCAATCTCAGGACCTCAGTTAAGGAAACTCTCTGTAGGCATAGGCAGTCTGTGGTAACCAGAGGACCCAACTAGCCTGACCCCGGGCTGCTTCTCAGCCCTGCACCCATATAGTAGAACCAGGGATCAAGTGAAACTATTTCATCCCACTGAAGGGCAGCCACCCAAACATCAGGGCAGCTTGTCCCATCCGGACTGACTCAAAGCCACTGGCTGACAGCCCTCTGCAACCTGCCCTTGCTCTGAGCTGTGACAGGGATGCATTTCAGCACCCACAGGGGCCTGGAGCTTCAGGATGCCCAGCCACATGCCCGCATCACTCAGTCATGTACGGCAGGGGCACGGCACACACCCGTACCAACTCCATGGTGCATGCTGTCCCAAGGGAACCAAAGGCTACACATTGTGTTCGGTAGGCTTTCTGTGGCCTTGCTGACACAAATCCTAGCCTTGTTGACAGTCACAATGCAGAAGATTAAGTGAAACAACTGACAGCTCACTTGTGTACTCATGCCAGGCACCAGGCCTAGCACCGTTACCCTCAGAACCCCTACAGGTGGCCACTGCTGTTACCTCCATGTGACAGGTAAGGGAACATAGGCACAGAGGTGCCAGGCCTTGCCCATGACTGGGTAGCCAGTAGGGGGAGGGCTGCAGTTCAACCCAGGAGTATGGTCTGAGCCCTTTTGTTTGCTCATTCAGTGGGAATGAACATGCTGACGTGTCAGTGCTGGGGGTGCTGTGTGCCCCAAGCAGATGTGGTGGGCAGCAGGGTAGACATGGACAGTAACAGGCAACACAAATCCATCTATCAATGCTAACTGCAGAAGGTGCCACGGAGACCAGAAAGGGCTACAGGAGACAGAGCAAGGAGTCCCTGAGACAGATCACAGGAGCCAGCAAAGGACCATGGCACACTCAGAGGCCAGAACCTTGCTGAATAGCCAAAGCAGCAGGGAGAATCCTGCCTCCTTGCAGGGTTTTAAATCTTTGTGAAGATCTGGGATACACGCAACTGTTAACCTAAAAGGATGGAGGTTCAAGCTTCCCCAGAGGCACTTCAGAAGCAAGCCGTGGTGATCTACTTCTGAAAAATCAGCCACTGAAAATCCTATGGAGCACAGGCATGAATCAGAGCCAACCTGATGGCAACAACTAAAAGTATCCCACCTCAGGGGGGCAGTCCTTCAACATGCGGGGCACCTCCCCTCCCGTGGCTGCTGTGTAACTAGGAAGGAATTTAAGGACATGGGCAACTCTTTCTTTTTCTGACCCCCAGCTGCTTTACGTTCCAGTGACAAAGTGTTTCGTTCAATGCTTCCTTCCTGTTAAAATGCAGAGGCCCTGGAGGAGGTGACTGCCATGGATAGCAGATGACAGATGGAGAGAAAATGGCAGAGCTTCCTTCCTGGCCTTGTGGAAAGACAGGGCACTTATGGAACCAGGAGGGCAGAGAAGGCTGCTGGAGGGTCCCCAGGGCAGATACGGCTGCCTCGAAGGCCAGGGCAGAGGAGGGTCACTGCCACTGCCAGGACAGTGCCACCCACAGACCAAGGCTGGGGGAGTCTACAGAAAGAGCAGGGTGCAGGTGTGGAGCTGAGAGGCAGCTGGATTCTCTGCTGGCCACCACTGCTCCCCTCCAGATGCAGACTCTCAGACTGCTAACTAACAGTAAGTGGTCCCACAGGACCAAATGGTCCGACATTTAGTACCTGAGGGTGATCACTTCCAGGCTGGGCATCTCCCGGCATATAGAGATCTACAAGGGAAAAGCGGAAGACGGTGATTGGCCAGTGTTGCAACACCTCCCTCTATCAGCCCCATGGAGACAAGGTGAAGCTGCAGCCCACTCTACTTAAAACAGGCTTCATTCTCTAGTCTGCAGCCGACACACATGTTTCCACACAGTGAAGGAGACACGGTGGGTGCACTCTCTCCATCTGAGTAAATACCACTGCCATCAGTAAACTGTGGAGTAGTGCACTACCAAGGTGCCCTCAAAGGACCTTGATTCCCTCTCAGATGCCATGAACAGAGACTCTTCCTTCTTGATGTCCAGAGGCACAGGGAAAGGACGGAGGCCTTTCTCGCCAATACAACTGGACCAAAAGGAAGACAGGCTCAACACTGGATGCATCTTAGAACATGTTGGTAATATTAATTCAGTGGAAAAGGTAGTAAGGTTCTCGGGTGGTCCAGAAAGCCTACATAACTACTGAAGTGGTTGAACATTCTCCAAACATCTGAGTACCTGCTGCGTGCTGGGCAGGATCCCTGACCTCAACAAGCTCAAACTGGTTAAAGGACCTCCCATGTGCACATCTGTTTTCTCCAACTGTAGTGTTTTGGTTTGCCTCTTTGTTCACTGCTAAGTGAGGAGGATTTCAGAGCCCTGGTGGCACTGTGGGTTAAGCATCAGGTTGCAAACAAGGCCAGCATTTCAAACACACCAGCTGCTCTGGGGGAGAAAGATGAGGCTGTTTGTGCCCATAAAAATTTAGTCTCACAAAATCCACAAAGGGCTGTTATGAGTGGGAATTGACTTGATAGCAGTAAGAGTGTTTGTTTTCTTTAGGGAGTATTGCAGCTACCGCAGGAGGTGCAGCGGGCCCTTCTGGATCAGCCCAGTGGCTTGGCCTCATTTCCAATTGTTTCAAGTTACAAAGCAAAACAGAAAGAAGGGAGGGGCACATAACTCTGTGTAAGCTAGGGCCAATCATTTCTAAGAAAGGAATAGAGAAAAAGGCAGTCCAGTCACAGGAATGCCACACACACACCCTCAACACATGGGGTGGGGTGGGGTGGGGTGGGTAGGGGGCATTCAATCTCTTCCAGCCACTTGCTGGGATTGGGGGTGAAGAAAGCTGCATCTAAGAAGGAGTTGAAGTGAGGGGCAGTGAAGAAGCCTGGGCACCTGTGAAAACACTCAGTGATTGCATTTCTTCTTAACAAAACTGATGATGGTGCTTATGTGCCGTGGAGTTGGAACTGACTCATAGCGACCCTGTATAGGGTTTCCGAGGCTGTAAATCTTTATGGGCGCAGAAAGCCTCATCTTTCTCCCAAGGAAACGCTGGTAGTTTTGAACTGCTGACCTTAAGGTTTGCAGCCTAACAGAACTAGAGCTCTTGGAATTCTTCTCTGGATGAGAACATGGCAGCACTGGGATCTGTGCACACCCACATAGAATGGACACTCAGTGAGGACACAGACAGTGTCATTCACCCAGGAATGCTTAGAGGACTTCAACACAAACGTGGATACTACAGAACACTGTGGGCGGCTTGCATTATAGAACCACTCAGTGAACCCAGTACCGGATATGGGGCTGAGGGCACGGGGATAAGTTTGTTTAACAGTGCTCTGGAGGAAGAGGCAGACTTTTGGGATTAGGATCCATTTGGTGATGATCAGTATAATACTCACATCTGTCAGGCGGCTGCCCCTGTGGAAAGAAACCAGATACTGTCATTTTGTTGAAATTGAATGAAAAGTAAAAATTAATGTTTTTCTAAATGAATGGCAAATACCCACAAACCTACAAAGGACTACAAAGCCAGTTACTTGGTGTTGCTTTGGGTCAACCTGTAGGCAAATCAGTGATAATGTTTTATGCTTTTTTTTACTTTACAAAACTCATTGTGCGTGTATTCATCCTTTCTGAATGATTTCTGGAACTTTTCCTGTCAACAATGAAATTTAAAACGTTAAAACACACTTTAGATTCTACTGTTACAGGCCTGTTTATTGTGATATTAAAAATATTTTTTAAAGACCAGATTAAGGTAGAGTTCACCAACCATTGGTCCCTCCCCTCAAATCTTCACTACCACATGATGCACTCAATTTTACCTTTTGCCCTATTTACTGAGTAAACAAACACTGAGGCCCTGAATTTATTGCTCTAATCTTCCAATACTGATTCTTCTCTCCTATATAAAAGCATGGCTGCAGGAAAAATGTTCAGTAATTTGCTCAAGGCCACAGAGCTAGTCAGTGGGGGAACCACAGCCATAGTTGTCTCATACCATAGTTGTCTTATACCAAAGGTCTATTCTTTGCTATTTGACAAGAATACTGTTCAATCTCTGAACATTGGCCCAAGAGTGTCAAGTCAGTTCTGACTCAGCAACCTAACGGACAGAGTAGAACTTCCCAGCAACCAAGGCTGACATCTTTATGGAACCAGACTGCTACATCTTTCTCCAGCAGAGTGGCTGGTGGGTTTGAACTGCCAACCTTTTAGTTAGCAACAAGATACTTAACTACTACACCATCAGGGCTTCCTCCATGAACATTATTGCCGTCGGGTCAGTTCCGACTCATGGTGACTCTATGCACCACAGAACCTGCACTAGTCTCACAAGTGTTATGTTTGAGCTCATTGTTGTCAATCCATCTTGTTGGAGGTCTTCCTCTCGTTTGCTGACCCTCCACTTTCCCAAGCATAATGGCCTTCTCCAGGGACTGGTCCCTCCTGATAGTATGTCCGAAGCCAGAGAGATGGAGTCTTGTCACCCTGGCTTCTAAGGAGTGTTCTGGCTGTATTTCTTCCAAGACAGATTTGTTTGTTCTTCCGACAGTCCATGGTACTTTCAATATTCTTCACCAACACCATAATTCAATTGCCTCCATTCTTCTATGATCTTCTTATTCATTGTTCAACTTTCACATGCTTATGAGGTGACTGAAAATACTATAGTCTGGGTGAGACACGCTAGTCCTCAAACTGAAATTATTATAGTTTGGGTCAGACACACTAGTTCTCAAACTGACATCTCTGTTCTGTAACACTTCAAAGGTCTTGCAGCAGATTCACCTAATGCAGTATGTCGTTTGATTTCTTGACTGTTGTTTCCCTGAATGTTAGCTGTGGATCTGGTGCTGTAGGGTAAGTACTGAACTGCTAACTATAAAAGGTCGGCAGTTCAAACCCACTAGACACCTCTTGAAAACCCTATACAGCAGGGGTGGGGAAACTTTTTCTGCGAAGATTTATAAATTTACTGGCAATTGTCAACTTTAAAAAATTAGCCTGCTGTATTTGGTCAAACATTTAATTAACTCATCCCTCATGTAATGGCTAGAATCCTGGTGTGGCCCTGTGGGTTAATGCACTGGACTGCAAAGCCAGTTTGAACCGCAAGTTTGGTGGTTCAAGCTCACCAGCTGCTCCTTGTAAACCCTATACAGGGTCACTATGAGTTGGAATTGACTTGACAGCACTTAACAAGTGTGATGGCTAGAACTGTGGTTGTCTTGGTAGGGCCAGACCAAATGATTTTGTGGGCCTCATATGGCCCGAGGGCTGAACCTTCCCCATCCCTGCTATATAGGTTCCCTATGTGGGTTAATGCGCTGCACTGCAAAGTTGGTTTGAACTGCCAAGTCAGTGTTGAGTTCAAGCTTACCAGCCACTTCTCAGAAACCCTACACATGGTCACTATGAGTTGGAACTGACTCAACAGCACTTATGAATTAGAACTCACTCAAAGACACTAACAACAACAAAGCAAAATGAAGTTACTGACAACTTACCCAGGAATTTTATGTTCTGTGGAGGAAAAGTGCCTGGCAGGCAAAGTTTTATATGGAATGGTTTCTGCAGGTGGAGGGAATCAGTGTCAGGAAGTGTGAGATATAGGGATAGGGTAGCTAGTCTACTCTTGGGGGTGGTCCCTAGTCCTTTTTCTCATTCTTTCATATAGACCAGGGATGCTTTGCTGATCCAGGGGGTTGGAGGAATCCTTGGAATTTTATTTAATGCTTAAATACATACACACACAAAAGGGTTTCAAAACGTTCATGAAAAATGGAATGAAAACAAAGTGGAATTCTTCCACAAACTTTTTGAAGTCCCCTGATACATGTAGATAATGTAGGTATACTGTATTTTATATTTCCTGTCCTCTCATGCATGAGAGATATCATCAGGAGAGACCAGACCCTGGAGAGACATTATGCTTGATAAGAGTGGAGGGTCAGAGAAAAAGAAGATCACCCAAGATGAGACGGACTGCCACAGTGGCAGTGACAATGGGCTCAAGTGCAACAATTATGAGGATGGTACAGGATTGGGTACCTCACAACAACAATCACGCTTGGTTACATGGAGGGTCAACGAAAAAGAGGAAGACCCCCAATGAGATGGACTAACAGTGGCAGCTGTAACGGGCTCAAACGTTAACAATGAAGATGGGGCAAGTGCTTTGTTCTGCTGGGCAGAGGATCACTATGAGTTGGAACCAACTTGACAGCACCTAACAGCAACTAAGAGACAAAACTGGAGTCCCTGAGAGGTGAACACTGTGGCTACGCTACTATGTGGAAGGCTGGCAGTTGAAACAAATCCAGACGTGTCTTGGAAGAAGAAAAAGGCTTGGCAACTGCTTGCAAAAGGGTTGGAATTAACTTGAAGGCAGGTGCTGTGGGTTAATGTGCCGGACTGCAGAGTTGGTTTGAACCACAAGGTCAGCAGTTCAAGTCCACTGGTCGCTCCTTGGAATCCTATACAGGGTCGCTATGGGTCGGAACCAACTCAAGGGCACTTCAAACAACAACATCAACAAAGACTGCTCAGATAACTGATTGTTGTTGTTAAGTGCCGTGGAGTCAGTTCCGACTCATAGCGACCCTGCACAGGGTTTCCGAGGCTGTAAATCTTTACGGGAGCAGAACGCCTCATCTTTCTCCCACGGAACCGCTGGTAGTTTTGAACTGCTGACCTTGCGGTTCACAGCCCGATTCGTAACCACTACGCTACCAGAGAGCTCCTTCAGATAATTGATAAAGGGGCCCAAAAATTGTTTCTTGGTTGGTTTTTTTAAAAAAATGGATCTGTTTGATGCCTAGAGCTACTTTTCACACTAAGGAGGAGCATAATGTTGTTTAGAATCTTTTTTTCACAGAGCCATGGGTGGATGATTAATCTTCCTCATTGATGGAAACAAGGATGCCTTTCTAAGAGATCAAGCTCAAAGGCTAAACACGCAACCTTAGAAACAAAGCTCTTTGTTGTTAAGTGCCGTTGCTTGCGTAGGTTCTGACTCATAGCAACTCTGTGTAGGGTTTCAGAAAAGTGGCTGGAGGGTTTGAACCACTGACCCTGTGGTTAGAAGTCTAGTGCTTATCCTACAGTGCCACACACACCAGGACTCCAGAAACAAGTTCTGTTGTTGTTAAGTGTCATTGAGTCAGTTCCAACTCATAGTAACCCTGTATACAGTTTCCCAGGAGTGGCTATGAGTTTGAACTGTTGACCTTGCGGTTCAAACTGACCTTGAGGTCGAGGGCTTATCCTATAACTCCACATCAGGACTCCAGAAACAAGCTTTAGAAAACCTGAAATAGAATTACTGTTTTGCCCTGCTCAGAGAAAGAAAGACCAGAAATTTGACTTGAATGTTTCCTAAACAAAGAAATGCATTATTGAAAGCAAATGAAAGGCGGGTTCCAGGGTAGAGTGGAAAGGCTTTTTGGTTAATACATCAGAGCTCACTCCTACAGTCTATTTGCTGAAGCCAGTGCAACAAAGGGTCTGCTCTTGGCTCTGCTCCCCACTCTATTTGAGTTGGCGGTCCAGCTTGTAGGGACACATTAAGCCTTGCTCTGAGTTCTCAGTGACCACCTGCAGATCTTTCAGACTCCAACTCCAGGCTACTTCTGGTTCTCTCTTGCCCGAGTTAACCTAGGGCTGCTCAGATTCTGCAGAGCCTACATGCTTTCCTGTCACTTTCCTCCCAAACAGTGATTGGTCTCTCCCAAGTACTTAATGTTTCTAGTTGTTACTAGGTGCTCTGACTCATACATAACAGAACTAAACACTGCCCTGTTCATGCTTTGTTGTTAAGTCAGCAGAATTGGTTCCCACTCACAGCAACCCTGTATAAGATCTCTGAGGAACGACTGATGGGTTTGAACCGCTGACCTTTCAGCTAGTCAAGTGTTTTTCCTGTAGCACCACATCAGAACACCTGTCCATGCTTCTTGTTGTTAGGTTGCTGTAGAGTTGGTTCTGACTCATAGTGACCCTTTGTACAACAGAAGGAAATACTGCCAGGTCCTGCTTCATCCTCACAATTGTTATGCGTCAGCCCATTGTTGCTGTCACGGTGTTAATCCATCTCTTTGGGGGTCTCCCTCTTTTTCGCTGACTTTTCATGATGTTCTTCTGCAGAGACTAGTCCCTTCTGATATGTCTGAAGCATTCTGGCTGTACATCTTCCAACACAGACTTGTTTGTTCTTCTGGCAGTCCATAATACTTTCAATATTCTTCTCTAACAATGTAACTCAAAATGCACCAGTTCATCTACAGTCTTCCTTATTCGTTGTCCAACTTTCACACGCATAGGAGGCTACTGAAAATATCATGCTTACTGAATCAGTATTTCTGACTCCCAGTTCTCTTTCTTTTTCTCTGGAAATGGTATTAATCAGATTGATTTGTCACCTTATTAAACGACTGGGCTCCAATGACAATTGGAAATTTCATATATCAGACCTATCCAGCGGGTATCTAACCACCACTGTTGTTGTTGTTACGTGCCATGGAGTCGGTTCCGACTCACAGCGACCCTGTACAGGGTTTCCGAGGCTGTAAATCTTTACAAGAGCAGAAAACCTCATCTTTATCCCGCGGAACAGCTGGTAGTTTGGAACTGCTGACCTTAAGATTAGCAGCCCGATTCGTAACCACTATGTTACCAGACCTCCACTAAAGCTATTTAAAGCTAGGCACGAGTCTTCTATGGAATTCGAGTAGCTTTAAGGAAAGGCAGCAAACATGTCTGGGTCTGAGTCCCAAACACCACCCCTCAGGGGATGTGAAGGTTCTGGAATGGCATTTGCCAACCTGGGCTTGAGGTAGCACCTCCGGGAAGCCCTGTACCGACAGACCGCCTAGGACACACTGGGGGTGGCGGCCCGAAGGCTCAGCCCAAGGCAACCCCACCCAAGGTTCGCGCCTATCCCCTAACGCTTGCCGCAGCCCCTTTTCCAGGCTGAGAAGCTGGCGAGCGACCGCAGGGAGGCCCCAGTCCCTCACCAGCAGTTGAGCTTTCGCACACTCTCCAGCTCCGAGGCCTTGGCTCGGGACAGCACCATCTTCCGCGTCAGCCTCATGGCGATCCCGCGAGCCCGGCCACAGGCCGGACCACAGCCCTGGCGGGCTGGTCACTCTCGTATTCCGGCTCCGCGCCGTGCATCTCCAGGGGCGGGGCGCGTCGTCAGGGGGCGGAGCGTGTCGTCAGAGGTGAGCTCTGCGAACCCATTGGCAGTTCGTGCGAGGGCGGAGCAACGCGGGCGCGAAGGGGCCTTCGGGGCTTTCACCGAGCAAGCTTAGCTTCGCCCTACAACGTCCAGAATGTGGTCTTGCGCACGCGCAGTCTCACTTCTGTGTGGTGTCGCTATTTGGGGCCTCGACACCACCTACAGGGCGTGGACTTGTATCTCCGCTACTCTGACTTCCCGTTATTAGGTGCTTGGTCGAATCTATTTTGACTCACACAGAAAGAACACTGCCTGGTCCTGTGACATTTATACAATCCTTGCTATGTTTGATACCATTGTTGCAGCCACTGTGTCAATTCACGTAGTTGAGGGTCTTCTTTTTCGCTTATCTAGTTTACCAAGCATGATGCCCTTCTCCAGAGACTGGTCCTTCCTGATGATCTGTCCAAAATTAGTGAGATGAAGTCTAGCTATACTTGCGTCTGAAGAGCATTCTGGTTGTACTTCTTCCAAGGCAAATGTTCGTACTTGTGGCAGTCCGTGGTATATTTTTTGACAATATCATAATTCAAATGCATCAATTCTTCAGTCTTCCTTATTCATTGGCCAGCATATGAGGCGATGGACAAAACCATGCATTGGCCAGGTGCATCTTAGTTTTCAAAGTGACATCTTTGATTTTTAACACTTTGAAAGAGGTCTTTTGCAGCAGAGTTACCTAATGTAATGAATAGTTTGATTTCCTGAATGCTGCTTCCATGGATTACTTGGAATGCTGATTCCGTGATTACTTGGAATGTGAATCCAAGTAAAATGAAATCCTTGACAACTTCAATATTTGCCTATCATGATATTTCTTATTGATCTGTTTATGAGGATTTTTGTTTTCTTTATGTTGAGGTCATCATGACAAATTATGAATAACAATGTTAAGAATGAGAATCCCAGAACATTTCATTGTGCTCATACAGAAACTACATAGACCAAGAGGAAGTTGTTTGAACAGTACAAGAGGGTACTGTTTGTTTTAAAATTCAGAAAAGATGTGTTTCAGAGCTGTATCTTTCACCATACTTATTAAATCTGTATACTGAGCAAATAATCCAAGAATCTGGACTATATGAAGAAGAATGGGGCATCAAGGTTGGAGAAAGAACCCATTAACAACCTGCAATATACACACTCTTGCTTGCTTAAAACAAAAAGAACTTGAAGCGCTTACTGATGAAGATCAAAGACTTTAGCCTTCATTATGAATTGCACCTGTTTTAGCTTGTTGTTATTAAATGCCATCAAGTCAGTTTAAATTCATAGCTACCCTGTATAGGGTTTCTGAGATTAGGGTGCCTAATCTTTATAGGAGCAGAAAGTGTCATCTTTCTCCTGCGGAGCAGCTGGTGGGTTTGAACTATCAACTATGTGGTTACCTACAGTTTTCATCCTATAGCACCACCAGTGACCATTTAAACTCTTGAAATAAAAATCCAATGCAGTTTTAGGGTGATACGGTTCTCTCCTTCTTTCCTTCCTTCACTCCCAGCATTTTGGAAAAGATATTAGTTACCAGCCAGTCAATTCATTCTTTCCAAAGCAGTTTGCTAGACTTTTTCTCCAGATGCCTCTTGGTGGGTTCAAACCTTCAATCTTTTGGCTAGTAGTCAACATTTGTACCACTCACAAAGGCCTTACATGTATTTAGCCCTGTCATGAACCACAGACGGCATCCCTGGGTGGTGCAGTTAGTATACTGAGAGGAGACACTCTTTTTGAAATGAGCCTACCTGGAGATTGGGGAATTAGCCAGGGTTCATGGTGCTATATAGTAAGTGATGGTTGGGGGTCAGTGTGAGATTGGTTACAGAGAGTCTCAGAGTTGTAACTCTGAGTTCTTGGACTCCAAGCAGGAAGAGAGCATTTTGATTCCTGTTAATAGGGCTGAGGAGGCTTGAACTCAGAGGAACGCAGAAACCAGAGTCCATGCCAGCAAGAGAAATGGGAAGCTCCTAGCAGGCTTAGACTGTGTGTGTGCCTATAGAGAGAGGGCTTCTGGGGTGTCCCAGCAGGGAGGTATTTCAGGTGGATAAAAGCAAAGGTGAGACTGCTGAGAACTGGCCCCTAGAATTGGTGGTGCGGAAGAATCCACAGCGAGACAGCTGAGGTCCACAGAAGGAATCAAGAGTTTTCAGGCTTTCGCAAGCCCCACCATTAGCTCTGGGGAGGGCCAAGTAGGCATGTCCTGGAGCATCTTATGTTGGGAACAACACTAATGGGCTAGTCACTAATGGGAAGAGGACATCAGAGTTGCTGTCCCTGCTCATCCTGTCTTGGCCCTATCTGGGTGAGATGGTTCCTCTCCTTTTACCTAGACTGTAGCAGACACAGATGAGAGGGTCAGTGCAGGAGACAGCAGGCTATGACAGGAAGGGTTGCGGGATGGGCCTTCATTCTCTAGATTTTGTGGGGCCTGTTGAGTGGGGTGTGGTCCTTGCCCGTTGCCCATTGCCATGTCTTTGTGTGAGGGTGGCTGTGCCTGGAGGTTTTGTGTATGTGATGGAGATGAAGGAAGAGGGCCGGCAGCAGAGATTTGCTAGGACAACACAGGTCCCCAGGGTAGATGCTGCACCAGGATTTGGTTGGGACCTTGCATTTCAGAGTGTATGTACTTCCTGAACATATTGGCTCAGATACTGAGAAACCCAAGAATAGTGACTTCCAGCATGGCTTGGTCTAGGGTCTCAGGTCTCAGACAACGTTATTAATGCCCACTCTCCTGTCATCCTGCATACTCCACTGCCATCACATATACGTTGTTACCTCCCAGCTTCAGAATACATCTTACAGTTCCAAGTCCAACAGAAAGACTGCTTTTCCCAATTGTACAGGTAAAAGTTTTGGGATTGGTGAGACCTGAGTTGGGTGCTCCTTCCTGAACCAATTACTGTGACTGGGCAATGCAATCCCTTGATGTCTAAGTCACATGCCTAACTCCTTGCTAGGGTAGAGAATGGGAGTGGAGGTACCTCAGAGGAAAACCCAGGACCGTCCTCTCCAGATGAGGGGAAATAGATGCTGCTGGCCCAGCAGTTGTCTTGGGGAAATGACAGGTTTACACCATGCCTGCCTTGCTTTAATTAACAGCTCAAATCTTGTCTCTTGTGTTCTTGTTGCACACACACACACACACACACACACAGCCTGTTACCATCGAGTGGACCTGGATGCATGGCGATTCCATGTGTGTCACAGTGGAACTGTGATCCATAAGGTTTTCAATGACTGAATTTTCACGAGTAGATCACTTTCTTCAGAAGTGTCTGTGGTTTGATTTGAACCTCCAACCTTTCAGTTAACAGTTGAGCACAATAATGGTGTGTACCACCCAGGGATTCTTCTCTATGTACATTCTTCTCTGTTCTGGCTGGCCCACCTCTGAGTGGCCCCAGGAAGGTCAGCTGCATACTAGGACCCTTTCATGGAATCCTACGTGACTGCCCCAGTGGCCTTGGCCAACCTAGGTTGGTCTACCTTTTTTTTTTTTTACAGAATTTGGAATCTCTTAAGTACCTTCCTGCCTGAATCCAGAATCCAGTTCTTGTAACCCAGCTAAGTCATGAGTTTCATTTCTACCAGTGTCATGTTTCCAAATCTTCAAGCCTGTCTCAACCTCCTGTGAGCAGTGTTTCTATACATATGCCTACTAAAAGTGTCTCCTTGCTTACTATCTATCTATACCCACCCCCAGGACTCGGAGGGACTTGTGAGGGGTTTTCTGTGTGCCGGGCAGCCTCCAGGGCCAGCAGAATGTGCTCATTCCGCAGGTTGGACCAACTCACTGCCATGGCTTTACATATCAGTGCGACTTTCGTCAAGTGGCACAGACCTGGAGTGGGAATTCACATTCACAAATAGTATTTAGTTTATGGTGTTTTGTGACACAGCCACACTATAACATCTTCACACAGCCCCACCCAGGTCCAATCTGGGAATGGATAACAAGTAGGTAAGAATCCTAGGAAGTGGGGAACACAACCCCTAACAATTGTTCTGAGCCAACACTCACTTAGGGAAATACCTGAACTTCTTGGGGTGAATGTTGTGATGTCTACCCTATTTAGAGCCACCCTTTAAGAATGACCTCATTCCTTGGTGTCTGAGGGTACTGCTGGCAGGGGGCTCTCAGGGTCTAAGCTTTTGGGGTTACCTCCTCTCAGAAGCTGCCCAACTTGTCACTGATCTACATGGGTTGGAAAGACTTACCACATCCCAACTCAGGCAACTCTGTGGCACAAGTGGGTCTACTGCTTAGGCCACAGAGCCTAACTGACTATGTGGTAGGTATGCGAGATGGGAATAGATGTCATGTGGAGTTTCAGGTCAGTACCAATAGTGCAGAAAAAAAAAAAGAAAAATTCAATCCTAGACTTGCTATGTTGAAAGATTCTATGGGCAAACATGGAGTTTTAGTGTGGTGCTGCAGGATAATGTACTGGACTGTAAGGTCAGTGCTTTAAGCTCACTAACTTCCTCAGAAATCCTATTCAGGGTCGCTATCAGTCGGAACTGACTCGATGGCACTTAACAACAACAAACAACATGGGCAAAATATTGAATGAGGCAGAAAGCATCAAAAGAAGATGGAAGGAATACACAGAGACACTGTACCAAAAAGAAATGGTTGATATTCAACCATTTCAAGAGGTAGCATATGATCAAGAGCCAATGATACTGAAGGAAGAAGTCCAAGGTGCACTGAAGTCATTGACAAAGAATAAGGTTCTGGGAATTAATGGAAGACAAATTGAAATCTTTCATTTATAAATTTATGCAGCACTGAGGAACTCACTCATCTATGGCAATAAACTTCGAAGACAACTGCCTAGCCAAATGACTGG